ATTATAAGGTCCCCCAAATTGTTCTGATCGACGAAGCCTATCTTTCATTGAAAACTTTGTTATGAAACTAAAATCGCTAGCAAAAAATCCAGAAAACAGCTTGACTGTTTTTGCAACTGTATTTAACGCTGTATATTAGGGCCTTTAATGCGTACGGACTATTAGGACCAAAACATTCTCACCAATGAAATATACAGGGAATCATGGAGAGTTCTCAGTAGGTTGAGGTACTAAACCCCGATTCCTTGTAAAAAATGTCTCAGACCTTTGGGAAATCGTACTTAAATGTTAATGCAACCAAGAAACTCCCCATCATGGTTTCACAAACAAGCTCATAGCATTTTCAGTAGAAATGAAAGGATATGGAAGATTACTGGGTTCTGACGAGACTAGGTCTGAATATCAGAAAGCTAGAAATATTCGTGCCTTAGACCTACGCACGTTTAGGATTACAAACAAAATATTGTTAGGAACTCCAGAAAATACCTAAAACGCTTAATTTCTTCCATAAGCCAGATGAACGGGGTCGTATAATAGCAGTTTGTAGAGGTGAAACTATAACAGAATTAGCTAAAGGCAACTATAGGAAATTTCACGTACTATCGGACAATTTTAGCAACGACCATACAATAGAAACACCTCTCGATATGAATTTTACCACTAGTTAACTGTTCTGTTGCCTGGAGAAAGACTTCTCGACCTTGAGTATGCGGATGATATTGTCTTACTGTGCGACAATGCCCAAGCCATGCAATCCGCACTTGATCAGTTGGCAATCAGTGTCCGTAGGTATGGTATGTGCTTTGCACCTTCGAAGTGCAAAGTACTTCTACAAGACTGGCAGGATTCCAATCCTGTACTCATCCTGGATGGTGAGCAGATGGAAGTAGTCGAAAAGTTCGTGTATCTGGGTAGCTGCATAAGCGCTGGTGCGGGGGTGTGAGTGATGAGATCAATGCACGAATAGTGAGAGCCAGAGCGGCTTATGCCAATCTGGGCCACCTTTGGCGCCTTCGTGATGTTAGTCTGGCTGTAAAAGGTCGGATCTACAACGCGTCGGTGAGAGCAGTCTTGCTCTATGCTTGTGAAACCTGGCCTCTCCGAGTTGAGGACGTTAGACGACTGTGTTTCATTATCGTTGACTCCGAAGGATTGCTGACATCTAGTGGAAACACCATGTTAGTAATGCAGAGGTTTAGCATCGTGTGTTCAGGCGCAGAGGCGATAATTCAATTGGTGTCACTATCTTGAAACATCTACTTCGGTGGCTTGGACATGTTATCCGAATGTCGTCCCAGAGAATTCCTCGTCGTTCATTATTTTCCGACACTGGGACTGGTTGGGAAAAGCGGAGAGGTGGTCAGTGTATGACATTGTGTCGGGGTATGAAAGAAAGCTGCAACGTGCTGGCTCCTATCGGTCTTTCACGATTCCCTGGCTGGGGTCCGAGAGATGGTGCAACAGTGGCTAGAGACGTTATCAGATATGGCTCAGAATAGAAGCCAGTGGCGATCCTGCTGTGACCTCTTACTTTCTTCATAAAAAATGGTTGTTTCTTCCTTAACCGGAAGATTTCTTCTGATTGTGCTTTTCCGTTTTCCCCATTAATTCTATTATTATTATTTTTATTACTCTTACACTGATCTGTCCGTTATTGTTCTTTCTCCACGCTCCTCACCTTTTTTCTCTTCCCATTTTCATTATTATTGTGTGGCGCATATGTATCCGGTGCCCCTTTGTACTAATATTTATGTTCAAATAAATAAAATAAATATATCCTGCCACACACGCTCTGAAGGTTGTGAATAGCGAAGAATTCGACCTCATTTGTACACCAATTAAACTAGTAAAAAGATTCATGGAATCGGATGAAATGCATTGAAAGGTACTAAGCAACTGGCACACTTCAACACAAGTCCTTTAAGTATGTTTTAATCTATCTTCAATCCACAGTAGATTACCGAATGACTGGAGTGGTCCCATAGTAAGTCCTGTCTTACAGACAGGTACAAGGCATAAATTTTAGAAATATCGTCCCGTACCTATAGCCAATGTACTTTCATGACCATAAAAAGATTATTAGTAAGGTGGAGTACCTAGACGAAAACATGACTTCCTAAAAAGCACCACAATTACATGACAAGTTACTCGTGTCTTACATACTAGTAATGTGAGATGACTAAATTGTTAAGAAAGGATCAAGGAACTGCAACTAAGTCAATTACTGGAACCTCTATGCTTACGTACAGTGAAACCGGTTAAACTAAACCTATTAATTTCTTATATACAAGGACGAGATTACTAACTCATTGTCATCAAACTGCTTAATACTGACTTGACACCTGAAACGCCACAATTTTTGTCCTCTGGAACAGAAAATTGAGGGAGACGTCCCATAAACGTCCACAAACCCAGCAGTAATTACTAGTCAGTTGGCTACTGCCTTTACTATCAGAAAATCTAAACCATGAGACTCTTCCTCAACAAGCAACTGAAGCTCCATCAGTTGACCCATCCAAAAGAAGTCAACCGAGACTCCAACGACAGGGGCAACACAATCCATTCGGGCTTTTGTTCTTACCAAATTGAAATCAAAACCCCCAAAGACATGTTGTCTTTGTAGTACGTATAAGTACACTTTAATGACAAACCTTATATGCACCCATGGGTGCATATGGGTAACCCTAACCCATGCATGGGTGTGTGAAGACGTTATTAACGTCGTTTGACGAACCCCTTCGTCTTTATTTTTAAACTGACTCGAAAATGTATGAAGAAGCAGTTAATCAAGCGGAACTGATTGATTACCTAAAACTAGATTATTTAGAGTCTTGCAGGAAAATAATGACCGACAGATATCCCGCGATGTATTTAAAAGATGTCCGTGTGCATTTACAACTCTAATCAAATACAAACAAACAAAACCCTGTTACTTAAAGTGGTAACAAGTATGGTCTGCCAAGGATTAATGTCGCATTATAAAACTCAAATATATATACATATTCATTTCGTTAATGATTTGATGGGGAAGTCAGCAGTTAGTTAGAATGTAGCTTTTGCTAAACTTGTGGGTGTTTCAGGAATGCCCATATAAACGTTCAACTTAAGATAAAGTCAAATACTAGGTCATTTGCGATTCAAAACTAATCTTAAAAGTGAATATATTACATCTGGTCTTTTTGTATGACAGGGGAAAGAGGTTTATTTTAGACAGTCTCTAGTCATGCGTCAGCTATGAGATTCCGGAAACCGGCCGGGTGGGGATACTTTGGACCCTTTGTAATAAATTACTGCATTATTTTTGGCGACGGTGAGTTGCGTGTGCATAACACACAGACTTATGACAAATAAACACTGTACATCGAGTCAAAGTGGTTTAAGCATCTACGTGGTCGAGGCCTCTCCTGATTGGTCGGAAAGATTCAGATTCAGATTTGTGTAGTAAGGACAGAAGGCCTACGGCCTATGTCATTCCTTTTCTAGTATGCTTCTGTGAGTGTCCAGTCTTCTTTAGAAACAGTCAATTGAAGGTACGGACACCACTGCTTCAGGCAGCAGGTTCCAAGTATTGATGACTCGGTGTGAAAACCTGTATGCCACGGGTATTTTGTTCGTCTTTGGCTTTTCTACTCGCCTGCTACGTCCTCTAAGGTGTCCCAATCTAGTGGGAAGAAAAAGAAAGAATAAGTTAGGTTCGAAATCATTTCTCTTTATTCTGTACATCATAACTAGATCTCCCCTCACTCTGCGATAGGACAGAGTAAAGAGGTCTAGCTTTTCAAGCCGCTCTTTGTATGATAAACCCCGGAGTTCTGAAATTGCACGGGTAGCTGCCCTCTGTACTTCTTCTAGTATGTCCGAGTCACCTTTTAAACAGGGGCTTGCGGCCTGAACGCATTTCTCTAGCTTAGTTCTCACTAATGATATGTATACTGTGGTGAACTTGGTAGTATCTAACTTAGTGAATGTCCATTTTAAAGCCCAGAGGGTTCGAAACCCCTTAGCTGCGACCTCCCGGCAATGGGCCGTCGTCTTAAGACCATTACTCACTGTCACCCCTAGATCCTCATGAGATCGGACTACGGGTAATGGCACATCCCCTATGTTGTAACTATTAACCTTTGAATCCCCATAGTGCACGTAGACACACTTTTCCGCGTCGTTAGGCATCAGCCACTCTTTAGACCAGTTTATCATATTATTTAAATCCGCCTGAAGAGTAAATGCGTCTTTGTCCACAGTTATTTCTCGCCAAATTTTTACATCGTCAGCGTATAATAACATTGGAGACTGTACTATACTTGTAAGATCATTAACGTACATTATAAAAAGTAAAGGACCTAAGACGAAACCTTGGGGTACTCCACTAAGTACTGGTCTCCAGATGGAGCACTTGGAATTTGTTCTTACTTTCTGTCTACGACCTACTAGGAAATCCCTAATCCATTTTAAAAGAAGTCCGGCAATACCAAGGTTTGCCAACTTCTATAGCAGTCTATTAGTTGGCACCTTGTCAAAAGCCATACTGAAATCTATGTAGACAGCATCCACTGAGTTTCTGTTGTCTAGCGCATTAATCCAGAGCTCCCTAGCTATAAGGAGGTTCGTTGTACAGGACAGACCCTTTCTAAAACCATGTTGTGCCATGTTCAGCAAGTTATTGGTTTCCAACTATCGGCGCGCTTTTGAAGGTTGTAACTTTTTTTCACGTGGTATTATTTTATTTTCCTATTAGTTTTTCTCTTTAATTTAACACTTAATAGCGATAAATAATTCGTTAATGATAGGGTTCTATCAATTTGACACCTTTTTTAGGAACTCAACGTCATAAATTAATCTTGCTAATTCTCACGCTATCTCTATCACCAATTAACGTTAATATATTTACTCTTAACTAATACTGGGTCTGATCCTACCATAAAACTTCACACGTTCACTAAGTTAAATTACAACTATCGCTGTCCACCTAATTAAACTTTGTATTTACATTACTTCCGATAATGACCAGGCCATCTAAAAAACATATAATCTCTTCTGATGCCTATAGCACCTGCAAAAGATCTAAATCAGTCACTAAAGCGAATAATGTGAAACCTTATAAACACACTGATCAGTCTGCATCCTACTCTGATCTTCCCTCAGCCACACTTAACGTGCACCGTTTACTTGGACAAGACATATTACTACCTTGCATCTCGCTTGTCGATATAAATAAGAGCAGTCACATACCGTTAGAGTCGACATCATTTGTCAGTCCAAACAAAAACACCACATGTTGTGAGCAGTATTTAGACAGTGCTGTTGATCCCAAACACCCAGCAATCTCACAATCGGCCATCCTGAGTAGCGGCCCACGGAGTACATGTAAGCCTGCCTACAATAGCCAGCCCGGTGATGTAGATCTTGACTACTCACCCAGACATATACCCCATCCCCCAACTAAGTGTGCACAAAGTGAACATCCGCTAGACACCTGCAACAGGCCTGTATGTAACCATATCGACCTTAGAAACTTTGATATAAACTCCGATAATCTCACCACTGGTAGACCTAAAAGCAGCCAAACAGAACTTAGCCTCACCCAAACTATTCAAGACCTATTACCTTACAAATATTTAATCAGTGTTCCAGAAAATCCCGATCTGGAAATTATAAAAAACACTGAAAAAGTAATTGACCATATATCATCTGAAGTGTTGAAAAGACTTCAGTGTATGCAGAATGTTATTGTGTATAATATACCTGATAGTACGAACATAAAGACTGCTAAAAATACTCTGCTACAAGAATGTGGATTGTCGCAATCTTGGTGTGTAACAAGAAGATTACGTAAGGCACACACTAAAGCCTCCTGTCCCATTCTATTTCAGTTTGGTAGCACCACTGAAGCTAATCACCTCCTCAATAGTCAGTCATTACTGAGGCGTATTCCAACATTTAAAAAGATTAGGATCATTCATGACAGGACCGCTATCCAGCGTCGAATCTGCAATGGAACACAAACTGATCAACCCAGCTTACGTAGCCGTGGCAGCTACAGCTCTTGTCACTGCACAAACCCTAAAATATCATACACTGCCCCCCCAAAAAACGGAGGCACGTCGGACACTGCTATTAGTCCTAAGGACAAGACCGCACATAAAGCAGCTACAACCACTCACCCTCAGCCCAGACACTCAGCTACCCCAAAATGCCAAACCACTTATGCCTCAATAGCGTCCAAGTATTACCCTAGCGGCCCTTATAAAATGCCTAAAAATGATCCTCCCAGGGATCGCGCTAACAGCTACAGACCCGCGGACACCGCTGTGCGAAAAAATACCAAACTCTCCGTAAAAACCCACCAATACTCCAGCACCCCAAACCCAAAACATGCACCTTCTCATAGTAATAGAATGCCCTACAACAAACATAGAGAACTGGCAACACCCACTCATCCTAATGTGAAACGACACTCGACAAGAACCACACCCACACGTGATACCCATAAGTCATATGGTGTCAACCTTGTAAGCCCCATGAACCAACACAAAACTATACACAACAGAAGCACCTCTCCTGGCAACAATAACAGGCATTCCTTCATCCCTTACCAGAAACATACAACCTCCCCAACTGACCACAATAGGACTAAAATTGCCCACCACACACGAGGAAGCCATAACGCTGGCCTACTTGGGAACCCACCTACAGATTCTAGGTACTATCCAAGTCAAGCCACCCAATACAACGGTTTAGTCCCCCCTAATTCGACATGCACACTATCTCATCCTTTTTTATCTCTCTCCCCCTCAACATTACTGCTATGGGGTCTCCAAATGTTGAGGGCGACAATCCCACTATTCTGAAACCATCTATATACTCCGATTTAATGGGGAGTAGCACATCCTACTCAACTTCGATAACTGTTTCTAGTCTTGAAAACTCCTTGACTGAACCCCCTGATCATTCCCCGGACACATTACCTAATCATTCGACTCTACCTTCCACTCTTAGACATACTTCTTTCACCAAAACCACACCCGACTACCCTTCTTGCATTAACCCTAATGGTAATAAACTAAACACTCATCAATATGGAGTCAACGCTCCCAATTCTTCCTTTTCTCAGGGCAAAACAGACAAACCACTCGGTTTACATCATACCCTTCTACTAGACAAACAGTCACCGTACCTGACACTTATGTTAATCAACGCTAGATCTGTACAAAGTAAGATGACTTACCTACGCACCCTATTGCTTTTAAACAACCCCTCACTTGTTTTGATAACGGAAAGTTGGCTGTCCTCCGATACCACAGACACATTTCTACAAATAGACACCTATGAGCTCTTCCGCTGTGATCGAGTCACCAAGAAGGGTGGTGGTTGTCTCGTCTATGTATCAAAAAATTTGAGAGCGGAAACCTATAGCGACCACGTCCTCAGCAAACTTCCTGAATCGATATGGCTTACTGTGCACACTCATGAATGTAAAATACTAATCGGATGCATATATCGAGCTCCTAACACTCCCAGTTCAACTGACACTATTATAAGTGAGTCATTTGCTCAGGCTGCCTCGCTTGACTTCACATACAAAATTGTATGTGGTGATTTCAACCTTCCCACCATCAACTGGAAGACACATTCTGGCCCATTGTGCTTTGAAAGCATACTTAGGTCCTTAGACATACACGGCTGGCAACAACATGTACACCTGCCTACACGAAATCACAACATTCTTGACTTGATATTCTGTCATAGTGTCACACCAACATCAGTGGTGGTTAGCGAAAAGTTTCACAACAGCGATCATAAAATAGTCCTCTGCACCCTTCCGATTCTTGCCATATGCAACAAATTAAAGACATTAAAAACGCGATTCCAATATAGAGACTATGCAAACGCTGACTGGGAAAACTTTCGATTTCTAATAAAGCACTCTGACTGGGGCAGTTTCTTTACCAGTAATAACCTCTTAGAAACATTAGAAATATTCAATATCACCACCAAATCTGCACTAGACACCACTATACCCTCTAAAATTGGTTTTAAAACAGTTACTCCCTATATAAACCAAAAGACTAGGTCTAAACTGAGAAAACTGAAAAGGATGTACTATATATCAAAAGACTTCAGTGCCCTGCACCAGATATACTCTGTACTTGACGGAGTAGAAAGTCAACACAACAAGCATAAACAGGTAGAGGAACGTACTGCGCTCGCTGCTGCATCTAAAGCCCAAGCCCTATGTCGTCTCCTCACGAAACGCATAAGAAAGAACACAGACAACAACATTCACTCCTTACTGCACGATGGAGTAACGTATAATGACCAAACCGTCATATGTGAACTATTAAGTGAATGGTTTTCTCACAATGGGAATACATCTGATGCCCCAGATATCGACATAAAGTGCACCGGCAAAAACTATCTTAGTACCATAAACTTCAACATTATGAGTATACATACCGCCATTAAAACCCTTAAACCAAATGCGAGTTCTGGTGCCGATGACATCCCTTCAATCGTTTATAAAATGTCAGGGCCGGACATACAGACGCTACTACTCAAAATATACACATTATCTTTAGAGACAGGTACATATCCGGAAACCTGGAAGGTAACGTATGTTCTACCCAAACACAAATCCGGACCGAGAAACCTGGTAGAAAACTACAGACCTATAAATATCACTCCAGTCATATCACGCATAATGGAAAAAGTGATACAAAATCAACTATCTGATCACCTACTCAAGGAAGATCTAATAGACCCGTCACAACACGGCTTCATTAGAACAAGGTCGTGCAGTACATGCCTGATAGACTTCTTTAACGAGGTTACTCGTATGCGTGACCAGAAGAAACTAGTTATTATACTATACTTCGATATTAAGAAAGCCTTTGATAAAGTACCTCATAATCTTCTAATCAACAGACTGAAGTCAGTTGGAATTATAAATCCCCTTTTGCAATGGATCAAGTCTTTTCTTACGAACAGATATCAAATAACCAAGATTAACTCTAATACATCTACACCTCGACCGATAACCAGTGGTGTTGTGCAGGGTAGTGTCTTGGGTCCATTGCTCTTTATAATCTACATCAACAATATATGCAGGTGTTTCAGCACAGGTAAGACCTACCTCTATGCCGATGACTTAAAAGTCATCTATAAAACTGACATTTGCGATTTACGCAGTACTATGCAAACAATCCAACATGAACTCAACATGGTAGATGACTGGTGCAAACGCTGGAGGTTAGAGCTCAACATAGAGAAATGCGGCTGGTTATGTATAGGAGACACGTCTCTTAAAATGAAACTAACAATTAGCGATCACGCACTCCCCAGACTGGCATCAGTAACTGATCTAGGGGTACATTACTCACACAGTCTTAATTTCTCTGAACACATCTCAGCCAAAGCATCCAAAATGCGGAAATTGCTTGGCTTCATTCTCCGTAATTTCTATCAAAATGAATCTAAAATCCTTCTTTACAAAGTTTGTGTAAGACCTATCGTTGAATACTGCTCGTTCTTATTTTCCAACCTACGTCTATCTGATATACTAAAGGTGGAAGGAATACAACGAGACTTCACCCGCAAAATACTTAAGACTGGCTCGGTCATTGACTACAGTTCTCGATGCCAAATCTTAGGAATAGCACCCCTTTGGGAGAGAAGGCTTAGGTCTAATTTGATTCTCTACTTCAAACTACTCAAAAACCTTACTTACTCAACATGTCAGATAATTCTTGCCCGAGATTCACATGAATACGAACTTCGAAACAAAGTATCTACGGTCAAAGTTGAGAAATACAGATCAAAAACTCGGGAAAACTTCTTCCTCACCAAGTATGCAATAATATGGAACAGTCTTCCTTCCGAGACTCGCATGGCAGATGAACTACATACGTTTGTGAAACTGCTTGATCAAGCCCTCACTCGCACTGATCTTGCACGTACGAACACATCTGCACCCCACTCAGACATCATAGGCTCTCTCCATGTCTAGACCAAAATGGACTTCAAGTTCAGTTTGCCTTATTTTTCCTATTTGCAGTTGTATTAATTACTTTTTCCACCCCATTTCTTCACTTGAAGTAGACAGGTAACTCACTGGACCTATCATTACTGTCAAACTAAACTCGGTCGATAAGGGACAATCACTACCACCCTAAAAAGTCAAGAGGACCCGACAATCGGCTGCCTACTACCAGTGGTCTTGCATCTATGGAACCTGTTACCAATCAACTGGTTAAGACAACAGAAAATAACATCAGCACCAAGTTACTGTGAGTTCCTTCCTGTTTATCCTATATTAACTTTTTACTCTTCTGTACACAATGTTGACTAGCAATTAATATTATTTCTCTACTCGTTCCCTTATCCACAACTCATACTTCTATACTTTTTCCGCCTGCTTAAATAAACAACTATCCTACAATATACCCTTCTTAACGCTTATACTCTGTTTGGCAAACTATACTTTATACTATAGTCAACAGAGGCACTGCATCGATGCTTTACCCACAGTCCACAGCTTGTAACTGCCTGATAAGCTTGTAAAATGGTACTTATAGAAATAGTGCTTTCCAACAAGTTGTGAAACAGAGGATTGTGTGAGGTATGACGTATATACAAAAATAAGCTTAAATGAGCCTAACATCACAAAAGGAGGGAGGGTGGAGTTACTGACCAGCAAGCATTGATGGTGAGGGCGATAACTTCAATCCACCCGTGTTTGTGGGGACAGAACATTTTGTATGTATCAGGCTCTTTATAATTGAGAATAAGACAGTCAATCTAAGATATAGATTGTCTTCCTACGCTCACCACTCAGACTCATGTTTCCAATAATATGCTGGATTAGCTATTCTACTAAGACAACCTATAACATGCTAACTCGGACTTTTACACTAGGATTGCGTGGCTGACATCGGATGGACAAAAAAAGAAAAGAAAAAAGACAATAAAAGATATAGTCACTAGTATTCTTAACACTTCACCCTCTATATATACACCCTTCTAATAAACCGCTTCCCTTGTACCAACCTTGACTTCCCTTCCTTCATGTGAGCTTACTCCAACTTGTTAAACATCACTACTCGTTGTTCTTTATTAGTACATTCTCTAATATGGAGCCTCTGACTTCACTTCACTCTAACAAGACATAATATGAATTTATTCTAATTTATTATACCTCTGTCCGTTCTACTACACAATGTTAAGCAACCTTTGGCGTTCATATCCAAGTGCCTTGCTGCTCCTCTGTTTCTTTTTTTTTCTCCTTCAGAATCTTGCTCTGAGAGCACAGCTATGAAACTTCTGACGTTTGGAGCAAACTTAACGTACACGTCCTCTCAAGGTCATAGTTTACAGCAAGCGCTCTACGATCTCACTTTATAACAACTATAAACTTAATAAGTTGGGAAGCATTTTGCGAACCAACAAATGTTGTAATTTATAGATCATGCCTGTAAAAACGGTGTGTACCTGCACATGCAGAAATATATTATTATTATAAGTGCCTTTATGGTCCATTTGATTATTCTTTCCAGTATTTTAATTACCACACTGGTGAGGCTTACGGGTCTGTAATTCGATGGAATTTGTCGTGGACCTGTTCTATGTATGGGAGTGACGATTGCGTCCTTACAGTCCATAGGTAACACACCTTGGTCAAGTGACATATTGAATATCACAGTCAGTGGGGCTGCGATATATTGGGCAATATGTTTCAAGATTTTGGGGTGTATTTCACCTGGTCCTGTTGACTTCTCCATGTTTAGAGTGCTAAGAGCCTTAAGTGCATCGTTTTGGTCGAAGCCCACGGTGAGCAACTGGTTTGTTGACTCTA